AATATCACATCCACGTTGGGCGCCATTTGAGGCTCTGAGTTTGAATCAAAGCCTAACGCACAGCATTTTTATATTTTTTAAAGCTTCTTTCTGTTCATGTCATGTTTGATCATTAGAAAATATTATTTTTGGTAATTATTTTAAGTCTTGTTTATAAATCATTTCCTCATCTGATCCTTCAAAAATTACTTATTGGGCGCCAATACATTTCGTGAATAAATATTTTATTTAGCTCATAGAAATAAAAACACAAAAATTCAATTCAAATATGATTGACTAACTCTTTTCAGTTATTTAATTTATCTTAGGAGGAATATTTAGAGAATGAAGTATCCATATTTTTCTTTAAAAGGGAATCCACAGCACCACGTTGGGCGCCAAATTCACAAAATATTTTATAGCAAATTACTTCCTAATGAAGAACAGACCATAGAACAATTTACTACACCCTTTTTACTCAACCTAGTGTTAAAGTTAACAAAAATTTGTTGCAAATGCTATGAGGATGAATTTCATTTGGCCCCACATTGGGTGCCACAGTAATCACAAGGACAATATTGGCAATATTCGAACCCATTCTTACTATTATATATTTTTTATAGGAAGAATAATTCAACCCATAAAATTGACTTCAAAAGAAACTTCTCCTCCCCACGTTGGTCGCTATTTCTCACAATGTAATTTATTTTTCAAAATATTTGAGTGGTGGAAATAAATCCCACAACACAACCACCTACAGTGGCTCCATCGAATAATCGGACAAGTGGTTGTCAGATATAATAATGCTATACATTTCAAAAAAATTGTTTAAATGTGTAGTTTTTTTCGCTTTTATTTACACATTACTTACTTATATTTCTGAACAATACAAAAAACAACAACTTTCCTAGTGATAACAGTAAATTTCGCCAGAAAAACAAAATTAACTCAATTTATTGTGCTCAACGCAAAATCGGACAATGCAAAGTATCAATGTCAAAAAATGCAAAAAATCGAGAAATTAATATTTAGTTGCATATTCTTTGTTGTCCAGAACTGCCTGTAAACGCTTCGGTATTGATTTGACCAAATTCTGGCATACCTCCGGCTCTATGGAGTTCCACGATTTCAGTAAAGCCTCCTTAAGCTGTACCAAGGAGTTACATTTTTTTCATACACTCTTCTAGCTAATTCTTCGCAAAGATGCTCAATTACGTTAAGGTCTGGGCTCTGTGCAGGTGTTTGTATAAGTTTGGGACAGTTATGGATCAACCAAAGCTTTGCAACACCTGATGTGTGCTTGGGATCGTTGTCTTGATAAAAGGCAAAGTTGTTCGCGATACCCAATTTGTCTGCACTTTGATTTACATTTTGTTTTAAAATGTTGAGGTAGACAAATTTGTCCATTTTACCATCAATAAAATGCAAATTGTATATTCCCGCACTCGACATGCAGACCCAAAACATAACAGAACCTCATCCATGCTTAACAGTGGCTTTTGTATTCTTATGATTAAATTCAGCATTTGGCTTACGCCACACATACATCTTTCCATCTGATCCGTGCGAATTAAATTTGCTTTCGTCAGTAAACAGATCCTTAATATAATGGAAACTATCAATAGAAATGTATTTTAAGATGATCTATCATCAAATTACCTGCTTCCAAAAATCTTCTAATTTTAGTAAATACTCCTTGGCATATTTTATTCTACTGTTTTTATTTTTAAGGCTTATAAATGCTTTTTTTCTTGCAACTCTTCCATAATAATCATATTTATGTAATGTATTGCGAATAGTATTTAGGCACACAACTTTTCAAGTGCGAGTTTTTAAATTTATTTTAAGTTCTTTTCCGCTTTTAAATGGATATTGTTTTATTTCTTTTAATATCGAACGCTCTTCTCGCTCATTCAATATCTTCCATTGACCTTCTCTGCTTTTATTGGTCAATCTGAACTCATCACGGAACCTCTTTATAATGTCGTGGACAGTAGATTTATTCATTCCAACCAATACGGCAATTTCTCTTACTGTTTTACCTTCATAATTCAATTTATCTATTAATTGTCTGATTTCCACACTGAATTTTTTCCCTTTTGGAGCCATTTAAATTTATTTTTATTTAGTTTTACCACTTTCTTGATCTAAATGCAATTTACAAATGAATACGACAAACAAAATACAGATTTGAAGTTCATATTTGCATAATAACGGGACTTTTAACATTGATACTTTGTTTTGTCCGATTTTGCGTTGAACACAATAAATTGAGTTAATTTTGTTTTTCTGACGAAATTTACTTTTATCACTAGGAAAGTTGTTGCTTTTTGTATTGTTCAGAAATATAAGTAAGTAATGTGTAACTAAAAGCGAAAAAAAACTACACATTTAGACATTTTTTTGAAATGTATAGCATTATTATATCTGACAAACACTTGTCCGATTATTCGATGGAGCCACTGTATATACTATACAACCACCTTTACCAAAACGAAGTGTTTAGGTCACCGAAAGAAAAAACATATCCTAATGTTATGGGAATGAAATTCAGTTGGCTGGAGTTTTAGTTTAGCTTTTTTTATTTCTAGGTTTTTGGGTTAATGGAACCCTTGAGACTGTTTTTGTAGGCATGTAGGTGTCTTACACAAAGAAAACCCCCCTACAGCCAATGTATAATCCATCTTCTTTGCCACTTCTCCTCCCCTCTTAATTTATTTCCTTTTGAATTGCAAAGGAACTGAGAATAAAAAAGAATAATAAGGAGGAGGGTGTTTTTTGTGACACAAAGCCCTTGAATTAAAGTTTTGTTGGTTAGCTGCAGGAAAAAAACTGCATAATTTAACATAAATTAATGTACGCCGATGAAAATGTATGCAGACTAAAGACAACAACAATAATAAATATAACAACAGCAGCTTTATGGCTTTTGTAAACAAAGCTAAATTTAATAATAATAATAATAAAAAAACGGAAATCTATTCTCTAACTTCCGTTAGCTGTTTTTGAGCTAAATAAATAAAATAATAGAGACTCACGCACTAATACCATCATCAGCGCCACCACCATCACCATTACTTCGTAACAAATAATGGGCAAATTGTCATTTGAAACTATTGTCAAAAAAATTCTTAAACAAAGGACCTGTATTTTTTCGGCAAATAATTTTAATTGTTTATATTTTGAAGAAATGAGGGCGAGGTTAAATCGAAGAGGAAACTGGAAATTATTTTGGCTAACTAATGTCCTAAATTCCCCAATAATCTACTAAGAAAGTAATGCGATTGTGCTGGATTATTAGCTTTAAATGCAAATACGTCAAGGTATCATGAATCTGCTGATATGTGTGGTGCACAGTTTTAGGCTGGATATTCACGTTTTGTCCTCTGAACGTCCCTTTATCTTTGGAAGTGATTGTATGCCCCGAGGGGCAATATTTTCAGGAACTAATAACTTTAAATGCAAATACGCCAAGGTATCTTAAATCTCCGGATATGTGTGGTGCATACTTTTAGGCTGGATAATCACGACATGTCCGCAGAGCATAGATCTGTCTTGAGAAGTGTTTGTATGCTTCAAGGGACAATAATAAAATGAGTGGGAAAGCGATCTCTTTATTATTTCATCCCATGGATAATTAGATCTTGGGAAGTAATACTCGAAGCTTTCCTTTGGATCCATGGTTATGATAATGACCATGGGCTATTTATAACATCCAATTGGACACCATTTTCGCGAACTAATAACTTTAAATGCAAATACGTCAAGGTATCATAACTCTGCTGATATGTGTGGTGCATAGTTTTAGGCTGGATAATCACGTTTTGTCCGCAGAGCGTCGTTCTGTCTGTTCTGGAAGTGTTTGTATGCCTCAAGGTACAATAATGAGGAGATTGTTGTTTCTTCCTATAGACATTAGATCTGGGGAAGCAATATTCGAAGCTTTCAGTTGTATCCATGGTTATAATGGTGGCTATGAGCTCTTTAAAACATCCAATTGGACACCATTTTCACGAACTAATAACTTTAAATGCAAATACGTCAAAGTATCAGAACTCTGCTGATGTGTGTGGTGCATGGGTTTAGGCTGGATAATCACGACTTGTCCTTAGAGTATTGTTCTGGCTTTTGAAGTCTTTCATTGGCATATTTTGGTATGTGTGGTGCATAGTTTTAGGCTGGATCTTCACGTTTTGTCCTCAGAGCGTCGTTCTGTCTTGGGAAGTACTTGTTCACCTCAAGGGACAATCATGAGGAGATTTTTATTTCATCACATAGATCATTAGATTTAGGGAAACAATAATCGATGTTTTTATTATGAATCATGGTTATGATGGTGGCCATGGGACACCATTTTCAGGAACTAATAACTTTAAATGCAAATACGTCAAGGTATCATAAATCTGCTGATTTGTGTGGTATATAGTTTTAGGCTGTATATTCTCGTTTTGTCCTCAGAGCGTCGATCTTTCCTGGGAAGTGTTTTTATGATTGAAGGGACATTAATGAGGAGATTTTTATTTCATCACATAGATCATTAGATTTAGGGAAGCAATACTCTTTAATTAGGAGTTATGGTTATGATGGTGGCCATGGGACACAATTTTCCTAATATTTTCATTTGGATCATAAATCTGCTGATTTGTGTGGTCTTTAGAAAATCAATAACTAATAACTTTAAATGCAAATACGCCAAGATATGCAGATATGTGTGTCTGCATAGTTTTTTAATATGTGTGGTGCATAGTTTTAGGCAGGATATTCAGATTTGTTCCTCAGAGCGTCGTTGTTCTTTATAAATCAATAACTAATAACTTTAAATGCAAATACGTCAAGGTATCAGAACTCTGCTGATATGTGTGGTGCATAATTTTAGGCTGGGTATTTCCGTTTTGTCTTCAGAGCGTCGTTATGTCTTGGATGTGTTTCTTCCGCATATTTTTAAGTTATATTATAAAATTTTAATTCATAATCAATTTACTAATTTCCTTTATATTTCTTCTTCTTCTTTTTCTTTGCAGATCTTTTGTGCCCTGAATCCACGAGCCGCAAATACCCGCGTTCAGTGTCTAACCTCGCGTTGTGATTTCGTTTTAAAATTTTCCGTGTGTGTTTTTTATTTCTAATTCCCATAATCCTCCTCCAAATTTTATTCTAGGTTATTTTGATTGCATTTCTCGTGTGTGAGAAATAAAATTGAAAAAATACCAATCAACCAAAACAAAAAATCGATAGTGAATTTTTGTCGTGTTTGTGCCATATCGCGTACTTGGATTACGTGAAACCCTAAAAAAACAACTAATTAAATCACAGCTAAATTCAAATAAAAAACAACTACAACAACCCACACTTTATCGTCAAGTGTTGGTTTCATCAGCAAGTAAAAATCGCAAATTTAAATTTGATCTCATCAAAAACCAAAGAACCGCAGCGCATGCATCAACGTTCCGCAATGGGATTATTAATAAATATTATAAAATGGCTAATGCTATTTGCTGTTGTCACAGCATACTGTAAGTATTCGAAAGCTTATTTTTATTAATTAATTGAATTTAAAAATAAGGAAAATAATCAAATAAAGCTTTCCGTTGATTTACGTTGGGCGCCAATTAGGAATTTGGTAAACGAATTAACTTTAATTTGATCTTTTTGAGTATTTAGTGTATGGAAATCGTTCTGACAAAATATTAACATAATTTGGTGCACATTTTGCGAAGGCAACAAATACGTTGGGCGCCAAAAAGTTGCTTACAACTTTTACGTTAAATCATTGTCAACAATTTGGCTGCAATTTTTTTATATCTGATTCATAGTGGATAGAAATTCTACTTGGCCAACTACAATACAAATTTATGTGAAGCATTCGTATACGTTGGGCGTCAAAAATGTGATTTGTAACAAATTGATGTCACTTACATGAAGTCTTGGTGTATTGAAAATAACCTTGCAAAAAATGATCAATATTGGTAGAATATACGTTGGGCGCCACTAATGAATTTGATGATTCATAATTTATTTCATAATAATTTACTTTAAAAATATCGATTAAACAAATTCTTAGCAAAAAAATCTGAAGTGCTAGCAATTATCTGATGATTCATGTCCATACCAACTGCTAGAATTTCCAGAGAAATATTCAAAGCAAAAAAAGTATAAAATTAAAGCAAAACAGATTGAAAAACTAGAAATAATCTGTTGCGGCTTCTGCAGCCTTTTCATGTTCTTGCTTTTTGGCTTTTAACCAATTTTGGTTTTTCATTTTTGTAATTGAAATTCTTTAAAGCACCTCAACTATTATCATTTACAAGAATACACGATCATATTAATACAGCTCGATTACTTTCATAATTTTTTTCGGTTTCATAGACGCTAATCTTTTTTATAAAGTGTGTGTGTTTGGAATATTAATGGGAATTTAGAAGTTGTATTAATGAAAAAAGTCTATAGTCGGAAAGGTCATTGCATTCTAATGAGATTTTTTTTTGAGTTAGAAAAAAATATTATTATTACATCAGCAATTGGTGGGAAAAAATAAAATTTTGAAATTTATTTATAGCCTAAAGGGACAAGAATTAATTGAACCAATTTTTTGTTTCAGTTGTCTATAAATTAAATTAAAGCTATACACTAAGGTCTTAAATATCAAAGGAATTTCAAATAGAATTCAAAAAGTCGCAATAAATGTTTACAAAAAATCTCTAAAGAGTTTTTTTTACAAAAAAATCTTCAAAGAAGGAAGGGGTTTGGTGAGTGGTTTTTGCCAGAAGAGTTGAAAAAGTTCAGCGAAGGTAGTCTATCTCATACGTTCTCACGACTTTTAGCTGATTGTTGAACCAAAGAAATTCCTAATGGCGGCTGAATATCGTTGACAATAGCAAATTTCCCTCCGATATTCTTTTCCATTCAATACTGCATTAGATTTGGAACTTTTGGGTGCTCAAGGATGCCGGCTGGATAATAAATTATAGTTTCATTAGGCCTAATATTTCATTAGCGCTAATCTCATTCCTGAAGCGATTCCATCTTTTTATGTTCGGTCTACAAATGCCAATCCTTTATTCTTTTTATTTCAATCGTCATTAGCACAGGCCCTATCTAAATGATGAACTAAATGCATGAGAACAAAAAGGAACGACTGGAGCAAAAGAATGAATTAAAGATTGGCGTAGGGCAATCTCGTTTCTGAAGCGCTTAGGTTCGCTCTACAAAAAACAATACATTTTTAGTTCAATCGTTCATTGACCCATGTCTTACTTAAATGATCAAGGAATGAATCTGACCTAGTACCGATTGTTCCATTTGAGGAATAGTTGATTTGAACTTGTTTTTTCCGAAAAAAACTCAACTTTATCTTTCAAGTTGAGTCATGATAAAAATTTAAGGTGATTTATTTTAATAACTTTAAATGCAAATATGTCAAAATATGTGAACGAGTCATGAGGCATACTGACACAGATCTGAGATCGGCTTTCGGGTTCAATTATGAAAGTTGAAGTTGATTTATATTTATAACTTTAAATGCAAATACGCCAAAATAAAAGACCGGGTGGTTCTGAAAAATATAAAAAAAAACATTAAATTTAATTAATAGGTTTAATTCTAATTAAAATAGAATTAAAAAAATAAATGTTATAAACATGCACTGATAGGTACGAGTTCGCATAACACTCCATAATTAGTCATAATTCAGGATAGGAATCAATGATGTTATAGGATGTAGATCAACACCAGACTTTCCCTCACCTTTGTACACCTCAACTACTACTACTGCTGGATAGGTCTGTTGGTCTTGAGACTTCTTTGTGAGCCACTGTGTGTTTGATGTAATTCTTAAGCAAATTTGAATCCGACTTCTCATTTCAGCAATTCCCTGAACCTCTTTCTGACTTTCCGGTCGTCCATGCTTTGGGGGCCTTAAAAGGCTTTCGAGTTCAATAATGAAAGTTGATGTTTATTTATATTTATAACTTTAAATGCAAATACGCCAAAATAAAAGGTCCTCGTAGATCTGACAACAAGATAAAACAATTAATTTTAATTAATAATGTTTAACATAGAATAATTAAAAAAAGTAAAAAAATAAATTTTAAAAATATTTAGAATTTTATTTTCCAATCGAGGCATGACCTATTTTTTCTCTCAATGATATTTTTTTAATTCATCTCCTAACTCAGCCAGAACCGTATCCATAACATCATTAACTAAGTCAATGATATTATCTCTATTCTGTAAGATGATAGTTTTCCCGTTACGCTGAGGGGTTTTGAGTAGTGCTAATATTTCATCAATTGTAAGTTTTATTTTTTTCTCTGCTAAAAATATCCTCAATTGTTGTTGTGGCTGTGTGATGTGTGGTGACGAGATGGCGTTGACTACTAAACATTTATTGAGCGGGGTCATCATTCAATTAAAATTGATTAAATGCATGATGTTGATGATGATGTTTTTGTGTGTGTTATGTTTTCTACTAAATGAATATATATTCACTATCACGTATCCACAGGGGCGTAACATAATTAAAAATTAGAAATATAGGTAGGAAAATTGCTTTAGGAAGGACTAAACAAATTTGCAATGAAAAAAGTATCCCTAGGAATGATTACACAATTTCCAATGACATTAATACAAAATAATACCCATTCTCCTGTTACTTCCCCTTTGACTTATGCTATGGGTTCCACAAAGCATCGTCATCTTACTCGGTTAGTCGTCGTGTTCGTTTATCATTTTCTGGTCTGCTGCAGCCTATTCTAGGTAATTGGGCCGCCATCTATCGTTGCCTAGAAACAACGTGTCAGTGAATTTTGTGCAAATGATGGGTCTGATGTAGCATGGCCTCCCTAATGGGTCTGTCATCTATCGTTGCCTAGAAACAACACCTCCTGATTTTTGTTTTGCACCGATTGGGGTCCGTGCTTAGTGCTGGTATCTACCTCTTGGTGGCTCTAACTCCTACCATTCATAGTTATTTTTTGATGATTGGTTATTAGAATGTCAGTTGGAATCTATAAGCGTTTCATAGGAAGGGACTTGCAATCATTTTTTTTAAATTTTCAACAACAAGTTAAAAAATGTTTCCTTCTCCATAGGATTGGAAACTAGGACTCGTCGGTTTATTCCCTGGCACTTTGTACACTGTCCCTCCTAATGTGCCTGCCATCTATCGTTGCCTAGAAACAGCGCCTCCTGATTTTGGGGTCCTTGCTAAGTGTTGTTATCTACCTCTTGGTGGCTCTAACTCCTGTCATTCCTATTTTCCTAATCATTGCTTCATTCCATGGTTGGTTATTAGAATGACAGTTGAGGCCAGGAAGGCATTTCCTCTGAAAGAGGGGTTTAATTCCCTTTTTACAAAAAATCAACAATAACATTAAAAACATTTTTCTCTGCTGCAAGGATTTGAAACTGAAACTTATTATTTTGTATCCTGGCAATTTGTGAACAGCGCTGTGACACCAAAAAAAAAATCATAATATTTTCGGGAGAATTAATAGTATGAGTGATTATTTTTCTCTATTTTTTTATTCTGAGAAGTTTTTTCCTCCAAATCATCATTGTTCCTACGTCACTGCTTCGCAATATCATTATGTATGCCATAATTTCCACCAGCGGTGATGACAATGACCAAAATTGCCTTGTAGTTTTAAATTGAATTTTCCGTTGTATATTTGAAGGAGACTCAGAGAGAATAGATTAGAAAAACTATTCCCATGAATGAAAATCTAGAAAGCCGACAAAGCTGAGGTTTTGTTTTTCTTTGGTCCAATGGAAAATGAAAGGAAATTTAAAAATTACAGGCAAATTTACAACAACATTTCCATGCATAATAGATTAAGACATTAAAAAGTTGCCGGGGGAAACAGGAACAGTATACATGCCAAATAAATCCTCATACTGTAGGTTAACCCGGCAAAAAATTCTAATGTAAATGCGGTTTTATGAATCTTATATGTATGGTGCATAGTTTTAGGCTGAATGTTTATGTATTGTGATGATCGGAACTGAAGATGGCAAGAGCAAAAATTATTAACCTGAAGAGGCACAAAGCGTCGAAATATGTGGACCGTTTTCTGTAGGATATTTATGAAAAAAGTTGAAGCCGTTTTATATTAATAACTTTAAATGCAAATATGCCAAAAATCGATCAGGTGAGTCACCTGTTTAGTATATTTGAATACATATCAAGTGTGATGCATACTTTTAGGAGTTTAAATTTATTTTCTCTTGATTTACATCACCAATAACTTTTACCTATTGTATAACTTTCACATTTATTTTTGATTAAAATCGCAATAAGTCAGCTGCTTGGTATATTTGAAAACATAACTAGTGTGATGCATACTTTTAGGAGCTTCAATATATTTTCTCATGATTTACCTCACCAACAATTCTACAATTTTTTTTAACAAATGTTAAGTTATGTTTCCGATTTCCTGTTTAATAATTTTCTATTATCAAATATTTAGAATATCAAAACAGCTGATAGGAAATCAATTTCTAAATATTTACTAAA